TTAAGTTTACCTATTATGAATTTAGAGATTTAGGGATTGTAGGGATAATAAGAAGAATTATTGATAGCGGAAATCTGTAATGGTCGATGACGATGATGATCGACGACGATGATGGGTTAGAATTAAAGAATAGAGAAATTTAAGAAATTTTTTAGATTAAAGTTTTTAAAAAAATAATTCAATTTTTTTTAAAAAAAGAAAAAAATATAAATGTAACACATGTCACATTTTGAATGGTTGATAATTTTTTTTAATGGCCGTGACAGACCAAACACTTAAAACGATAATTTTAGACACCTACATTGATCGAAAAATATTTAAGCACTTATACAAGAAAAGAAGTATAGTTTAGGCTATTTTTTTATTTTAAACCTATAAATAATAATATTGATCAATTAAAAATTATAAATGATCGTATATTATTATTTTTTTAATAATCTAAGATGACTATAATATAATATTTTTTTAATTTATTAACAATGTATATGTATCCTACCAACTGTGGAAATTTTTATTTTTTGATTAATCTGGGATAAGTACAAGACAATACTTATTCAAAGATAACTCTAAATTATTTGATATTGAACACTCACACCATGACGTTCATAATACATTGAAAGCTCAGAGTCTTGACGTTGATAGTGCTCGAACAAATGAAACAAAAGATCAAGTGAAAAAAGGAACTATTTTTCTCTGACGTAATACTACAAAAGATTAGTAAGCCAAATATGAAACAAAGATAATAAAACAGAAATGAATAAATCAAAGGAAGCAAACAGCTTTACTTTTTTTCAGTGTGTTCTGTATATTACGCAGAAAATCATACTGGATTTTCTACAGCCTATCATCAAATGGATAGAAAATATTTCCCAAAAATTGAACATGGAAGCAAGCAATTTACATGTAAAAGGAATAGTTTATCAGCGTTACTCCGGCTCTTCAATTTCTATAAGTATTCGTGTTCGACGTATATCTAGATATAATTATTTTCCATAAAAAATATTCGTATCCGACATTCACACTAGACTGAGACTAAATTTCCGAAGGTGACCCTTTTCATGCAAGAGTTTCAGTATTTACCATCAATTTATCTACCTCAGCTGCTACAAGTTGAATAATCTGAACCAGCCGGAGCTTCCTTCCTCTTCGTAATCGGATGAACACGACTTGCTTCTTACTGATTCTTCTGAACTATCACAGGGAAGGAATTTTATCCTGTCAGCATGTTCGATCATCCAATCTGTGAATTCTGGGGTTGCTGTCAATTCTGCAATGGCATTCAGGGTGGACTCGCGACTGAAATCTTCCCATTCTTGTTTCGTGAATTTCTTCCGATTATGCGTATTGTGAAAGAAAGAGTACTAATCTTGATCGTATGTATCACCTAGGACGTTAAAAAGAAACAAATCCATCGATGATATTAACCGAAGCAAGGAAGAAAAATGTACCGGTATGAACTGTGAAGTACCTTGAAAAGCAAAAGTAACTCTTGCAGGAAATCTAGTCCAAGCTAGTGAATGCATTGGAGTATGTCTATTCCACATTGTTCTATCAGAAAGCATTCTTGGAGACCAATTAAAAAATTCGGCACGACCTTGGTTTATCATTCCCTGTCTCGACTGCTGTACCCAAAGACTCATGTCCCAAGAATGTTGCTGGTGCCTACATAAGCCAAAATGCCAAATCCATGGTTCGAATAAATCAAGGATATGAATGAAAACTGAGATCTACAATCATTTGTTGAATTTAGCTTTCAATTAGACGAGTTTTACTATAAGTTGAACTGGTTACTGTAATCTACATAAAGTGTGACTGCTTATCTGTGTACTAACGGATATCAAACCGAATTCAGGGGCAGTCTTATTACACGACTAGTTAGTGGAATGAATAAATTTTGCACAGAAAATACATTAACAAACACAGACTAACGAAATCACCTTCTGCCGGCAGACATGCATCATAAACATGAAAAGTATTGAAGGGAGCCATGTTTCACTTACATATGGCTATTCCTTCTTGTTGATGTGGTAAGAGAATATACAGCGTAAGAAGAAGCCCATACCACCAGTGCGAGCCGAGTATCAAGAGTGCTCTGGAGAAAGCAGAAAAGGGGTGCAAGATAGGAAAATTAAACATAAGATATCCTTTTTAAAAGAAAGCCTTGATTCTTTCATTTTTTTTTCTTTATGCATACACGTTTGACACCCATTTCTAATCATATTTCATACATGGCACTGGGAAATGACCCTACAAGGACCCTCCAAACACATGGTTAAACTTAGTAAAAAAGTTGAACATACCCATGTTGGACACATACTTGTATCTGATACACTCGAGCTTGAGTACTAGGTTGACAGGGTTTGACCCTTGATAAGTGGAACTAAAATCTAGCACTCTAAAAACAAGCCATATGGTTGTAGACAAAAATATAAGATATCGCTGCACCTTTGATTGAGAGAAATTAATACTTTTCTCCTAAGGGAAATTATTTATCTAATTATAAGAGAGCTAAACCAGGACAGGTGAAAAGAATGGAAGATCTCATGCCAAACATCTTAACATATCTAATAAGGCAAGGCAAGCCCAAGCCATAGAAACAAACAATGCTAGGTGCATCTCAAAATCATGTGTCCAACTTGAGACCAAGCAAAACAATAATCTAATTTATAGTTTTTGGGGTACCCATTAAAAGAAAAGGCATTGAGGTTTTCTCAAAGTTGGATCAACTGATCCATGTACCCACTCTAGAGCAAACAATGTGCATATAACAAATAATCTACCATGTTCGACATACTTAACAGCAACCCTATCATGGGTTTCAGAAGCTACCACCTGCAAGTTTCAAATAAAGAAGAGAAAACTTGCCATAGAACCTAGGTTGCATAACAGGTAATACAACCACCATCGGTAGAAGCATACCTGGAAAATAAACGCAGTTGCAATGATGAGCATCGACCATTTTACAAACTCAGCAACACCACCATCTACGATTCCATCTTTTGAGATCACAAATTTTCTTACCATCAAGTACCCTAATGCAGCTCCCGATAGGAAAATTCCAACCAATACAAATATAGCAACCTGTAACAAAAATAAGCAAAAATAAATTACTTGGTTCACTTTGAAATAATACTTCCTTTTAAAGAGAAAAATATCATAACTACAAAGAAGTCATTAGAGTATAAGTCATATGGCATGCAAATTGTGGATAAGGGAACCATATTAAATATCATTTGCTGAAAATAATAACTCCAATGAGGGGAAAGAAGGGAGATCTGATTGGCAGTAGTTAAGAACTTACTGGATTGTGCATCTCTTCACTAAGCCCAAAATTAGTAAGAACTGAATTTATCAACCCAGACAATTGATGCAAAAGAAAAGATCCAACTCCAAGCTGAAAAATTAATGGAACAGTGAGTTTATTGGCAAGCAGCCCAAAGTAGATGTAACATTAATTAAGCGATAAAGAAATGAAAATAAAGACTCACCACTGGGTGCTAAAATAGAATATATTTTTCCTTCCTGCCGGCAACAATTTCATTCCCTGCTTGGAAAAAGGAAATCCACACGTTAAAAGCTGAAGGTAAGATGGTAATTCGGGTATTGACATAAATTCAACATAAATCTTAAGAAAACTAATAACTGTTAGAATCCCAAGCAATCCACTCATAGTATGTGAACCGGTGAACCTGTGTTTTAAAAAGCGCGCCTGAGGCGCTTTGAGGCGCTAGGCGAGGCGAGGCGTTTAGAAAAAAGCCTCCGACCACCAAGGCGGCGGCGAGTACATGAGGCGGCGATTCAGTCGTCGGAAGCGGCGAGAGGCGACGAGGCGATGCTTTTAGCGATTCACGTACAATGACCCATTTTTAAATTTTGAGTCTCGGCTCGATTTTCTTCCAACAGTCAGACCTTTTAAATTTCAATTACTTACATTAATGTATTCCTGGAACTTTGAACTGTCTCTTGACCTTCTAACGTCCAATTTTTTAATTACTGTATGTCTATAAATCATGATCCAAGCTCTCTAGTTTCTCCGATGCATACCCTGGAGCTTCTTTTCCCTCCTAAAATTTTCTCCCTCCTCCATTCATGCTTAATTCAGCGATTGTTCTACGTTGAAGTTGAAAGCAGACTCCTTTCTCAGTTTCTCCTATCTCCTTTCTCGATTTTCTCCATTAAGGTAAGTCTTAATTTTAAAATTTGTATCACTGTAGTGTATGTACAATCTGCTTTTCTTTTCCCCTCCACTCCTACATGGTTAATTTACTTCACTGTAATTTGTTTAATTGCTTCATCTTCAATGTAATTTGTTTAATTGTTTATATATTGGAAGACACAAGCTTTCTTTATCGGTTATCATAGCTGTAGATATATAATCCGCTTCATTGTTAAGGTGATCTGCTTGCTTGTTATTTTGTTAAGGTAATCTGTTTAATTGTTTATCTATAATATGTTTAATTGTTAGGTAATCTGTTTAGAATTTAGATATATAATCCGCTTCATTGATGTTGATGACGATGATGATGAAAACAAGTTTTAGGCATTTTGATTATTGATGATGTTTTTATTTGTCTTTTTGAGATACAATATGACTTATGCTACTTGGTGTTTTTGCTTATTAAGTTGTTTTGTGTTTGAGGTATGATTATAAAATATTTACAAATGTTTTGTAAAATTAAGCGCCTCGCGTACGCGAATCTCTCGCCTCAAAGCGCCTCAAAAAATTGAGGCTCTCGGGTAGCTAATCGCCTTGGAGCGCCTCACGCCTTTTAAAACACAGCGGTGAACATCTGATGAGACAGCATGGGAATCAAAAATCAATTGATTTCAGTTTAAGGACTATGTGAGAAAGCAAACAGACCTGGAACTTCAATACAGATCCATGTTCTTCAAAATACATGGAAAGCAATAGCTATCTTCACAGTAGTCAGCAGAGTAAGATACTTCAAATTTTGTAAGATGTATATGATAGCATTGAGATTTGGAGAGTGAGGGATATTTTAAAAGAAATGAAGGCATAAGGAATTTAGGGGCGAACGCCAAAGTAACTGAAAGAGAATGATCATAATGACAAGAATAATGCCAATAGCCATTGAACTGCTGTAGTAGAAAGGAACCCACTTGCTGACAATTGGTGCAAAGAGCAACAAAACAAATCCTAAAGCTAGAAACACAAGTCGCCATCGCTGAAAATCTACAAAAAGAGATAACAAATCAAGGTTGAAAATAAAGTTCGATTTCAATGAACTAACAATAACAAGCAAAAGAAAAATGGAAATGTAAATAAAGTATAATCATACCTTCTTCAACAGAAACCGTGACAGAGCCAGACATATCACCTCTAAACTTCACATCTATAAATCTATCATCATAAGATGACATGACAGCGTGCCACATACCGTTTTCCACTGTCTTCCAATATTCATGCTCACACTTGCATAATCCAAGTGAAGCATTCCTACAAGACTTTTTCAGTCACCAAAAGTGACAACAAACTTCTGACGTGATTTCATGGAGAACACAAGTAGGTTGAGAGCAGAACTTACTGTTGAAAGCAAACTTGTATTTTGCCGTGTAGTCTTTCTGGAATTAAGACAGATGGAGCCAAAGTAATCCGAACAGAATTGGCATAACTCCTAAGTTTCAATCTTGATTGACCAGAAACTCGAACTCAGTCACATGATAAAACGTCCTTTGAACCATGGACAGATGAATGACCATAAAGGGAAGTGGGGGTGACATCTAGTGCTGGACTTCCCAAGCCAATGCCTGCAATTTTATAACCTTTGAAAACAACACAAAAAATATGGCAAGGGTGCGGGAGAGAACCAAAAGACATCAACCACGGTGATACATTGTAAGTTTCCATTAAGTTACTGACATAATCCAACTTAATCTCCATTTCAAAAACTGCATAATATACTTTCTATAAGATATAACTAAATGATACATTGATAAAGCTCAGTTTTTAAATTAAAGTGATTACGAAGCTTCAAGTCATCATTCAATCCAAACATTTATTTACACTAAAAATTCCCCCATAGCTATAAAGACCTCCAAGTCTAGAACAATAAATAGCATCTATTGTATGGCACATCTAATCTTAGTAATTTATATATTTTTTTTTAAAAAACTTTTAGCTGTCGATCTTTCTAGGAAAGCCTAAAGAAACATGTGGGAAACTGATTATTACTTATACGAAATCAGAAAATAAGCCACCGATAAGACTTCTATGAAGCAAAGGATGCCGGGAGAGTCTAAAATACAAGTTGTTACTATAAGGCTAAAAAATGGCATAAATGGGTTGTAACAAAAAATGTTACAAATTTGTATAACCTTTTAGGTTGCCGGATAACATTTTAAGTTGAAACTGAAATATTACCTTCTTCATAACATTTTCGGTTGTAACCGAAATTGTTACAAATTGTATAACTTTTTCGATTGTAAATCCTAAAACCATCCCAATGTAACTTTTTCAGTTGTAACTTAAAGTGTTACAAATTTGTATAACTTTTTAGGTTGAACTGAATAATATTTTAGGTTAAAAATTGATTTAAGTTAGCCTTAAATTGGGTTGTCGCACAGCAAACTACCCAAGAATACCATAAAAAATGGAAATCAGAGACAATTACTAGGCCTGCTCTAGGATTTCGTCTTACTTTTTACCAGCATTTGAAGAATATATTTTAAGGCTAATATAATAACAGTTTGCATTTGACAAAACCAGCTGATTTTATATTTTAAAGCATAGATTTCAGATTCACTTCCCTAAAGAAGCCAAAGAACAGAGGAATGAAAGTGCTAAACAGGGTTTCCTTTCATCTAACCTTTCCTTTTTCCTTATTTTCTCAGAAAAGCAAACAAAACCATACTAAGCATATGAAAAACACAAAGTTGGAATTCAATGAGGAAAAAGAAAAAGGAAATTATAAGAAAGTTATACCTTTAAATTCTGTGGTTGCTTGAGAAGCATGACAAGAGGAAAAAAATAATATAAAAGGAAGAAGAAGAGGATAAAAGAGGAAACCATTGTCGACAGCCCTCTTCCACCCCTCTCTCTGTTTCTCTTGATCTGTAAATTGAAAAGTCAAATAAAATACGAAAGGTTCGAGTGTACAATATTATATAACATTTTAAATTAAGGGTAAACTATGCTTTTTACCTCTCAACGTCCACCTTAATCCTTTTTTGAACCCCCAACGTAAAAAAAATTTAATTTGATCACTCAACTTTGAAGATTGAATTTTATTGTCACTTCATCAATAAGTGCCAATTTGGCATTGCTTTTGAAAAGCACGTTTGAAAAGTGATATTAGAAATTACTTTTAAAAGTGATTTTGAAAAGTTAAGTTTAAGATTTTAGTGTTTGGTATTGTTATCCAAAAGTAATTTTAATAAGATAAATGTCTCTTTTAGACATTATATTGTAAATTAAAAATATTATTTAATTATTTTAAGTGTATTAATATTTTCATATATAAATATATCAAATTAAATTATAAAAAATATAAATTATAATAAAAATACAAAATACAAAATAAATTAAAAATATATTAATTTAAATTATTTTAAGTGTATTAATATTTTCATATATAAAATATATCAAATTAAATTATAAAAAATATAAATTATAATAAAAATACAAAATACAAAATAAATTTTAAAAGTTTTTTCTTGAAAAAATGTAATTAATATAAAATTAAAACATAATTTATAAAAACAATTGAATGTTAAAAATATTCTAGACAAAGGAGTGGAGCCCATGTATCAGAGTAAGGGTAAAAGCATAAATTTGCTTCTAAACGAAAATTTTGAAGTGGAAAAGCTAAAAAATTCAGCGTTAGTTTAAAACCATGTTCTAAACACACTTTTACCTTCAGATTTTACTCGTTTGGAAATGATTTTGCTTTCAAACTTGACTTTTAGACCAAAGTCACGTTTAGACAATATTATCAAACGAACCCTAAATCACAAACAATGTGAGGACAATAAAATTTACACCAAAACAACATCGTTTTGAATATCTACAAAACTCAAATTTACATCAAAATAGCTTCATGTTATATCCCTATAAAAGTTATTTTCCTTTTTCTTCTTCTTAATATTTCTCTACTTTAACTTGACTTGTAACACCCTAAAATTTGGATTAGAAGTTTTGGCTAAATAAAATGAACCCTAAAAATAGTATTTTTTTGAATTTAGGACTAATTTGAATAAAATTTGGTTTGAGAAACTTAATTAAAAGATTTTTTTAAAATAAGGATCATAATGTATGTGAGTTAAAGCTAGAAGTTAATATGTAAACCTTAATATTCTTTATGGACCTTTAAGGTAATTTCCCAAACTTTATGGGCATGCGAAGATTTGAACCTACGTCCTAGAGCGTGCAAATTGTCTCCAGTGATGCAAAGGATAAGGCATACGAGGAAATGTACAAGATATTAGACACCAAGAAAAGACAAAACGGCATCTTCAGGCTTGCAAAATCTAGGGAGAATAGGAAAAATGATCTAGGTAGCATTAGGTTTATTAAGGAGAACAATGGTGTTCTTTTAGCGAAAGATCATGATATTAAGAGGGTTTGGGGTAGTTACTTCTTTGGCTTATTTATTGACGGTGCCTCTCCCTGTAGAGATAGTACCATGGATGGGTCAGCCGACCAATGACTGCCCTACAAGTAGGATTGGGTTTGAGGAAGTTAAAATGGCTCTTAGAAAGATGGGAAGGGACAAAGCTGTCGGTCCTGATCAAATTCCTATTACTAAGTGGTTGGCCCTAGGAGAAGAGGGAGTTAAGTGGTTGACCAACATCTTTAATATTATTTTAGAGACTTCCAAGATGCCAGAGGAGTGGAGAGAGTCTACGGTGATACCAATCTATAAGAATAAAGGAGATCCCCAACGTTGTGGTAACTACAAAGGTATTAAACTACTCAGCCATACCATGAAGCTATGGGAAAGGGTGATATAGGCAAGGTTGAGACAAGTTACAAGGGTTTCGAAAAACCAATTTGGCTTTATGCCAAGCAGGTCCACCACAGAGGCGATTCATCTAATTCGACGGATTATAGAGAAATATAGGGAAAATTCTAGAGATCTTCACTTGGTGTTCATTGACCTTGAGAAGGCTTATGATAGTGTTCCCCGCGATATGATCTGGAAGACTTTGGAAACGAGACGGATCTCAACTGCTTATATACGGGCGATTCGTGATATGTACTGTAGATCTACTACATTCGTCAGGACTACAGTTGGCGACACTGAGGCATCTCCGGTGGAAATCGGACTCCACCAGGGGTCGGCCCTTAGCCTTTACATCTTCGCCTTGGTTATGGACGACATCTTTTGTGCAACACTAGCCGGTGTACCATGGTGTTTGCTTTTCGCTGACGACATTGTCCTAGTTGCTGAAACAAAATCTGAGTTGAATAGTAGACTGGCTATTTGGAAGACTACTTTGGAAGAAAAAGGTCTAAGGATCAATATTGAAAAGACAGAGTATTTATGTTCAAACTTTAGTGGGAACCAAAACGATGAAGATGTAGAAGTATGCATAGAAGGACACGTTCTCCCCTCAAAGGATTGTTTCAAGTACCTAGGGTCTATGATACATAAAGATGGGGGTGTAGATGATGACGTTACACACCGTATAAAGGCGGGATGGCTAAAGTGGAGGGTCGCTAATGGAGTTTTGTGTGACAAGAAGGTGCCTCTAAAACTCAAGGGAAAATTTTATAGAATGGTAATAAGACCAGCACTGTTGTATGGATCAGAATATTGGGCAATCAAGAAGGATCACGTAAGGAGGATAGAGGCCGCAGAAATGAGAAAGCTTCGATGGACATGTGGTAGGACTCTGTGGGATATGACAACAAACTCTGCTATTAGGATGTCCTTGGGGGTGGTGCTTATTTCCGAAAAATTGAGGGAGGGAAGACTACGGTGGTTTGGGCATGTCCTTAGGCGACTACCGTCGGATGCGGTCAGGAGGGTAGAGTCGATTACAGTCGACGGTGCCAGAAGGAGAGGACGACCAAGGCGGAAGTGGGAAGACTGCTTGAGATCTGATTAGATGGATTTAGCCCTTACCAATGACATGACCTCTGATAGGAAAGTATGGAGACTTAAGACTAGGGTAGTCGAGTAGTGTGGGTCACATCATTAGGGTGTATCATATATGTCTTCTTTTAATGCCTTTGTAGTAATTTCCATGACTTCTACTTTTTATACGTTTCTGTTATTAGTATTTATGAAGGCTTAGAACTGGGCTTGCTATCGTTGGCTTCTGTGTATCATTCTCTTCATGATTCCTCTTTTAAATTTAGTCGGGTCTAACGTTACTGTCTATATGCAGAGATTTTTTCGCAGGGTTTTATTTGCAGGGATTACTTCCCATTAAAGACGCGCATAGGATATTAATGACTACATATGAATACTATTCAACTATGTATTTATGTATTTATTTATACATGCATTGCATTTTTATCTATATTTTTGATTTTCTGACTGCCGGAGGTCTTCCACGGAAGCTACTCTCAACCTGGCGTTGGGGGCAGCCTACTACCCTACCTCCCCCTTACCCCATTGCATATGGGAATTGAGTTTTGTTGTTGTTATTGTTGTGCCTCTTTGATGAAGCCTCAAGGAATCATATTGTGGTGTCGATGTCTTCATTAGTGTATGAGAGGTGAGAAAAAGTCAATGAAACTTTTATTTTGAATTATTTTATCATGTACCAATGTCATCCTTCATCGATCATCTTTTTTTTCTTTAAATCACCGTCTCGTCTCTCCCATCGTATTACATCTTTAAGTATAGCAAATCAAGCCACTAATATCAAGCTTCTAATAGATTCAAGAGCTTTTCTAAAGGTATCATCGTCGTTTCAACCATCTCAGATTCA